GGCAACACCTAACCAAACTTTGAGTAGATAAACACAAGCACAGTTTTCATCAGGTTTAATGAGATGAGCAATCCAGGTATAGGAAATAGTATGTGCAAAGACACTGAGGCATGAAACAACATCGTGTGTCTGGGGAATTACAAGCAATTTGATATTGCTGGAGCCCAGAATGCAAGGTGAGGAATGTGAAGATATTTCTTTGGAGAAGCTCTGGATTCCCATGTAACTGAAAATGTGCATTTTTGTTTCCAGATGATTATATGTGTCTACTGCCTTTCCATAATACATCAATCAGCCTGTGGCTGGACCAATAGTGACACATGTATTTATTACTTGATTTTACTTTTGCTTGACTTTATCACAAAAAATTTCCCCAGTCTCTACTCATATTTGTTCTATTCCCCTATTCCTCTCTTACCTTGGACTCATTTTCCTCTGTAATCTAGTTATCAATGTCCCTCCCCCTTGCACTGTCTCATCCTACATTGATTTGAGTCCATCTCCACTCTTCTGGGTCATCTTCTTGTCTGCCACCAAGCAGCTCCCCTATTTACCCTCAGAACCAAGGCCAAATGACCTCCTCCTTGAGAAGCCTTCCTGCCCATGTGCAAGGGTTAAGAACTTAGGCTTTGGACTGAGTCAAGTCACCATTTGAAGCCTTGCTCCCTCCTGCTCTGTCTTTGCTCCTGAGCCAGTTATTTTGCTTCTTCCAGCCTTACTGTCCTCATCTGTAATAAGGGTATCACATACTGCACCGAGTACTTGTGACTATTAAAATGGGTAATAAATAAGAGCTTAGAAGAGAGTCTGGCCCTTAATAGTTACTGCTAGTATAAACTCCAAGAGTCGAATGATTGCCATGACTAAGTCATATATGTACAGAGAGTGATTTAGTTTGGTAGATATTTACCTTGACTTTATCTGCTTTTCTGAAAAGCTGTGGGAGGCAGCGCTGCTGCATTACACAACTCCAATTAGAACAATGCCCCCTGGGGTTGTGCAATATGGCCACTCTGGGAAGGAGAAGAGGCTTTTCTCTGCAGTTTATTTCTTTCTATAGTTTGAATATTTTAACTTTATCAGAAATTGCTTTAATGTTTTGCAATGTCAATAGGGTTTCTAGGCAGGAATATCTGGACTCTTGCTTGTTTTCTATTTTTGCACCACTATTTATTTTAAAAATTAAACCAATAATAATATGCTTTCAAGAAACTCAGAATTTTAGAGGTCATTCTGGTCATTATTAGTTAGGATAGGGGTTCGTATTAGGGTTAGTAGTTAGGGTTAGTCTGTAATAGATTAGGGTTAGGATTGAAATTAGAATTCAATTAAGGTTAGAATTAAAATGCACACAGAGGTTATTATTAAGGATTGTGTTAATTAAAACTGGATAATAGAAGTAAGAAACAGGATAAAGAATACTGGTTTAGTTGGGTGGAAAATTGAAGAGGAATTCAGTGTGGAAACCTGTGCAGAATTTACTGATAAAAGTCATGCAGGGGAGAAGAGTTAGGGTACAAGGCAGAATCTGAGTGGATATTGAGGTACATCTTCTGAGGTCTTTCCCCACAGGGGCTGCTAGCTTCTCCCAGGTGAATATGTAAGATTCACCCCACTGCAGACTGAATCCCTTCCCTGGGCCCTGCCTTATGCAGCAGAAGCAGCATGGAGAAAGGAATGCAGGGGCCCACACAGCTGTGTCCAGCCTAGTCCCAGTGCCAGCACAACATTCCACGCCCCCGGCTACCCAATCTGTTGCTGAGTGGACAGGGGCATCCAAGAGGCCAAATCCGCCTTCTCTCCACTTCCCTTCTCTGCTCCCCTCAATTTTCACAGTAGCTGCCAGATCTGTAATCCCACAGACAACCTACTCCAGACTTTGTACAAGGCCCTGGGAGATGTGTACTGCATGCCATAGCACTTCAGAGTAGAGAGTAATCATAAAGATCAAAATCTGACATGGATCCTCTTACCTATTTTATGACAGAGATAATCCTTGTAGGTCAGTCTTTGCAAAAAAACCACAAAACTGTATTTAAATGAATAGGGGCCCTTTAGGATGCAGAGGCAAGTGCATGTAACATGGGCATTAGAATAAGTATAGGCAAAGGGTCATTCCAAGTGGGAATGTCCATAACCACGTAGGAGAAATGACCTTTCCACTCTGTGATATGCAGGAGTGAGGAATTCCTGAAATTGGACATTGCTCTACAATATTGGGAATGAGTCTCCTCATCCTTCTGACCCTCAAAAGGTAACTATCACCTCCCTCCACATCCAGTACTGGTAACCTTTTACTAGCTAGCTGTATAGACACAGAAAGTCCCATAGCTTCTGAGTTTTATTTTGTTTTTTTTTTCATCTGTTCAACAAGGAGTGTTATTAATTAGATAATCTTGAAGATCTTTAGAACTCTAATACGCTTCTATTTCATAATTCTAAAAGCCAATGACTGCTTCCTATTCCCAGGACCTAGAATGCTGCCAAACTAATCCTGATGATGCAGAAAATGGAAGAGGAGCCAGTAGGAAAAGAGCATTCCAGAGTTTCATTTGCTAGCCTTAATACTCTCTCTCCCAAAGAGCCTCCCTCCTTCCCTCCCATCCTTGGTACTGGTCCCATGTTGTTACACTAGAGAGTGGAGCCAGACCAGCAATCACTAGAGAGTGAAGGAGGGACAGGAAGAAGAGAATCACAGTGGAGCACCAGATGGAAAAGATGATTAAAATCAGTGGACACTGGGACTTAATCCCACATTCTGCTCTCCCCACCTCATCCATCCTTAACTCTAATACACACACACACACACACACACACACACACACACACACACACACGCACGTCTCTTGAGCCCACTTAGATGATCTCTAAGGTTCCTTCAAGCTCCAAAGATAATGCTCTTTATCCATCAAGACACTTTAAGTAGAATAGCCTAATCCTTCCCCGCCAAAGCTAACTCTTTCTGTAAACACCTTCCCTCTTCTATTCTGTCTGCATGGCTAACTCCATATTAACCTGGTCCCACTGCTCTCAGAAAGTCCAACCTTCCCTTTATCTCTCCCTATCCACACTCTTGAACCCAGGCACTTCTCTCTTACATCCACACCTCTGCATCCTTCCATTACACCAACCCTTCTATCTTCACTTCTCAAAGACTCCAAGGCGTCCAGAGCTCCAATAAGGCAGAATGAATTGGAATCATTGAGATATGTCCAGTCAGGTAAGTCAGACAACCAAAGATGGCCAGTATTATCCTGCAAGAAATAATAATAACAACTACCAAATGCTCAAGAAATGTTCAAGAGACAGGCAGGGCTCTTCTCCAGAAACCATAAACACAAGAAACAGTGAAAGAAAAATAGTAGGGCAGCATCTTGACCATCCTGAAGGATCTCCCCAGAGAATATTCTCTCTTGGCTTCTCTCCATCCTTGACTTTACTGTTTACAACGTACTTTCTCCTTTCTTGTCCTTGTGTTTCTAAGTGACAGAGACATTAAACCAACGAAGTTAAGAAACCTTGTCTTAAAAAGCAAAGATTACCTAAAACATTAAAGATCAGCACAACAAGTCACCATCATCAGCTCAGAGATAGGACTGGCTGCCTGCGGAGTTAGAAGACAGGTACACAAATCCTTTAGGGACAGAAATATTAGCCTCACAGGATTGGAGGGTACTATAAAATCATAGTGTTTCCTGTCTCTGCCAACACTTGTCATTTCTCCCACTAACTTGCTGTGTAAACTTGTGTAGATCAGTTAACTTCCTTTGGGTTGCAGCTGAAACTGTGCAAAATTACAGGATTCAATCAGGTATTTTCTAAGAACTCAATCTATACAAAATTCTTTGATTTTTGGCACTCCAAAATGTTGAAATTTATTCCCCAAAACTAAGTTTCAACAAAACTAACTCAAAAAGTTCCTTTTCTGAGAGGTACCAAAAATGTCCCCAGTGATACTCAATCACAAAGAACAGCAAACACTAGGGAGTCGGGGCTCTTGAGCCTGAAAGCAAGTGCAAACACCCTGCTTCTCATCCGTCTTGTATCCGGCCTCAGGGACAAGAGCTGCATTAGTCACAAATGCACTGGTCCTTAAGAGGGTCTGCGGAGCAGACATTCACCTGGGACCTTGCTAAGTAAAACTTAGGAAGGAAAGACAAGCTCTACTGAAAGAAGAAAAAATATTGAGAAGAAGCTGCGGATACAGGTGTGTAACCGGGAGAGCTAAAAAAGAAAATATTGAGTTGCTTTGCAGGCTACTTGGTTGGGTGAGAATCTGAGGTGAAATCGTGTTTTCAGAAGGCAATCTCTTTGACAAGGGACTGAGAGAGATATTGGTTCCCATGGCCTGGGGTCTTCAGAGAAAGGTGCTTTTCAAGGGGGATTGCCCAGGGGCACGAATTGTTGCTGGACAGTTAAGTGGGGGCACTGGGGTGGGAGGAACTACGGATGTTCCCGTAGGTGAGGGTAACTGGTTACTCTAGACACCTAACGGACAGGGGGACCCCGAGGCTTTGGGGGATCCCCAGCTGCCTAGGAGGCGGGAGCTGGAGGACCTCAGGCTTTGGGCACGCCCTTGCCCAGGCCTGCAGTAGCCGCTCTCGCCAGCTGGCCCACCGCCCTGCCCGACTCCCCTCCCTCCACCCCAAGCCAAAGAGGGGTGCGCGCGGAGTCCCACCGCTGAGCTGGCTCCCTCCCTCCGCCCTACAACCCGGCGGGTGCTGGCGGAGGTCCCGGGGGACAAGACCGAAGGCACCACGGATGTGCGAGGGGGTGTGGGAGGCGGGGGGGAGTGGGGAATGCGGCAGCCTGCCACCCCCCGCGACTAGCCCAGCCCCCCGTCACCCCCCTCCACCGCCATCCGAATGGTTTGCTCCGAGCTCCCTATTTAATCCCAGCGACTGCAGCAGCGCCGGCTCCCTCCCGGTCCCCGCCTCGGCCCGGGCTTGGAAGCGGCTCGGGGCGCCCTTTCGGCCAGCGGCGTAGCCCACACCCCCCCCCCCACTCCCAGCCCCCCGGGGATCCAGGCTCGCAGCGCCCAGCCGGAGCCTCCGGGAAGCGCGATGGGAGCCCCCTCCGCCGTGCCCCTGCTCCTGCTCTTCGTGTGCTGCTGGGCGCCCGGTGGGGCCAACCTCTCCCAGGACGGTGAGTGGGGGGCGGGGGGCACCAGCGGAGGGGGCGACCCGAGGCGGAGGCTCCGGTTGGGAGTGGGCGGGAGAGCCCGTCGGCTTTGTTTGGCACTGGGGGTTAAAGTCGCCAGCTGCTGGAACACCCAGCGTCTGTCTCAGAGCATCTCTGTCTCTGTCTCTGAGTACCGCGGGCTGTGCCGACGTGTGCACCCCCCTGTGTACACCGTCGAGCGTGTCTGCGTGTGCACCGGGGTCTGGATCCCGGGGCTGAGGTCCGTCGTGAGCGGTCCGGGGTCTGGACGTGTTGCTGTCCGTGTGCGCGTCTGGGTGTGCGCGTCTGTGTTGGTGTCTGGTCCTGCGTTTGTCAGTATCTGTGTGTATGTCTGTGTCAGTGTGTGTTGGGGGCGGAGTGAGAGCTGTCGCTGCTTCAGTCAGGGCGTGTGTCGGGTGTTTGTGTGTGTATGTCTGTAAGGGTTGGGTGGCCAGAGCAACCCCCCAAACTGCTGTGTGCAAACATTTCTGCTCCCCGCGCGTCCCCCACCCGCGGCGGAGCTGCGAGTGGGCAGGGAAGGGGGCCTGGGTGAGGCTGTGGAGAGGGGCGTGAGCAAAGAAGGGGCTTCTCCTCGGAGCAGAGCAACAGCACAGGACAGTGCCCCCCCCCCCGCCCCGTGGGCTGTGTGCCTAGCGGGGGGCAGAAGGGGGGCGGGCAGAAGTGGGCAGTTTGGGCAAAAGCAGGGTTCAAGATATTTGGGGAGCGGATGCAAGGCAAATCTACAGCCTTCTTAGGCTGAACACCGATTTTCCCAAATTTGGGGTGGGGTAGCATACCTAGTCCCTTCGCCCCAGTCGGCAACTCACACCGTGGCGGGTTGGGAAGGGTAGAGGCAGAGGCAGGAAGGGAGTAGGGGGAGAAAGGAGGCGGGGCCGGGGCCAGGGGACTTGGAGCGGAGCCCTCCCGCCCGGCCGGGCTATGTAGGTCAGCGCTGTGGGGGCACCTCAGCCTTCGTAAAGGGTGCCCACAGTTAACAGGGTGCCACCGAGGCAGTTCCTAGGGAGACCGGGACAAGAGCCCCAGCACCGAGGCTCGGGTCCCCAGGGGAGGGCGGGCGAGCGGGCGGGCTGAGGTACTGAAGGAATGCATCCTCCTCCTCTGCCTCCGCCTCCAGCCGAGGTGGGCCGGGTGGGGGAGGGGAAGGGGACCGGGGCCTCTGTGGAGTCAAGAGAGGTGGGGAGCGGGGGGAGGGGGCCTGTGCCAGGCCAGATGCCAACGAAAAACAGAGAGAACCGCAGGGGAGGAGAAAGGGAAGGCGGCTCCTGGGCGATGGACCCAGTGGCCAGCAGGGATGGGCACAGGGCGGGGCGGGGTGGAGAGGGGAGGGGCTGGGACTGAGGAGGATGATGTAGAGAATTTCATCAGAGGCAAACAGGCGAAGAGCCAGGCGGCTGGAGGAATTATAGCTCCACCTTGCCTGACCTCCTCCCCCAGCCGGGTCTCCATCAAGGTAAAGGAGCTTCCCCTGGTGTGGGGACTCAGAGGACCCCCTCCCTACACTGGCTGGCAGACTCCTTCCACCCTCTACTCACCCAACTCTCTTTGGGGAGTTCCCACCCAGTCATCACCTAGACACCAGCCCCTCCTTTCCCCTACCTGGAATCCCCTCCCCAGAGGACTGTACAGAGGACCCTGCTCACAGAGGAGGTGAGGGGGTCCTGGGGGAGCAAAGGCGAGTGCAAGACAAAGGCAGGCTGCTGAGGGTTTGCCCAGCAATGACCCTCCCACTAGGCCCTGACTTCCAAGTGCAGCCTCTGGCCTTCCTACCTGCCAACTGAGTTAAAGAGAGGCAGGTGTCACCCAGACTACAATGGTTTGGCAATGGGAACGGACAGCGCCAGGCTAGGACCTAAAAAGAGAAAAAGATGTCATCCCAGGAAGCTTCAAGCTCTTCTACTCCAGGAGGCAAATGCTGGAGACAGGAGTAAACCTGCATAGGAGCCAAGCCCTCCTTCACCAACTGCACTGTTCTTTCTCTGTCCCCAACTTGGTTGTCCAGTCTCTATGCAGATTTAAACCTCAAAGGAGTTCCGTTCTTGTATTTAGCAATAGGTCTCACAGCAGTAGCTTGAGGGAAAGAGTGCAAGGCGGCAACTTCTGAATGGGGAATTTCAAGAGAAGACCTGGGGGAAGGGAACTGGGGTCTCTTTCCAAAGAAGTCAAGCAAGAATAGTTTTCCTTGTAGGGCATCATGCCTCCAGACATCCGCCTAGTGTGCATCATCTCAAGATGCACTGACGTTACAGACATAACCACAAGACCTCCTATCCTAAATTAATTCTGCCCCTTGGTTTCTGGATTCTAATTCTCCCTTTTGGCTTCTAAGAAAGCCAGCTCTAACAGTGGAAGGTAGATGCATAGGTTTAATGTTCATGGATGATGGTCCTGAGGACCATTCTGGCAAGGATCATGTAAGAGGTGTGTCTAGGATCCCCGAGTTTGCCTGGGGCATCAGGGTAGGAAGTGAGGCCGTTCATACCTTAACTGGTAATGTTTGGCCCAAACTGGAGATATGTGGTGTGAAGGTTTAAAGAAAAAATGCCCTACTACACTGAAGCTTAAATGGTTAAGTGTATTGTGCTAGGATGGTTATTTCTATTTAGAATAAAGAAAGCAAACTTCATGTGTTACAGGAATATATAGCTCCCTGGAGTACAGCATAAATTTTTTGAGCTTCACACAACTGAATAGGAATTGAAAGACTGCAAAAAAGCAAGCAACTGGTATCTACCATTAGTCCTGTGGCTACAGGATCTGGAATTCGGCCCCTGACCTTTGTTCTCATACTTCTCCACTAGTATTGGCAAAAGTTGACAGCTTGAGGTTTCAGGGATTCAAGGCCTAAGAACTTAATATACCCTGTGGTCATCTCTCTGCTGAGCAGCTCGACATTCACTGTTGTGACCAGCCTCCTTCGCATTCTTCCTGTTATTCTCAGCATTCCGTGATTTGACCTAGTGTAGAGACAGATGGATGGACAATCTTGCTTTGCTTCAGACCAGGTTATAGCAATCTAACCTTGTACTTCACCATCCCACACATGAATATCTTTTCCTTTCCAATGACCTTCTGTCCACTACCATCCATTCTGCAGCCCTCTGGCCAGGTGCCCAGTGTGGATATCATGCCCAATGTGCCGGAGAAGTCCAGCAGGCATTTACTCCAGAGCAGCCCACAGATCGGCCTGGCAGATCTGCTCCAACCAGGTTCTGCTCCTATTGCAGCCATAATTGTTCTGTGCTATCTCTGTCCCTGTTCTTTCCCCTGGTTGCAGCTATCACTCTTAGGAAGGAGATGCTCTCCCGTAAGACAAGTGCATCTTCTGGCACAGGGAAGTAGAGAGCATCAGAAATACATTACATAGTAGAGTTCAGCTAATTCCCTGAAGAATCAGTCTGTCTGATGTGGGGCTCCATCTATGGAATGTCAACTTCTTACCAAGTAGTTATGCCAATCAGTCTATCTGAAGATTTCCCTATATCTGAGCAGTGCCATTGGTTTTAGTATTTTCCTCTAGGGAAGTGGTTTTCTTACAAAGCTTTTCAAAAAAAATAAAATAGAACAGATCAAAGGAGAATTGAAATAGAGAAGACCTGTAGCCTATGACCACTGCTTGGTTTCCTGACTCTCCTGTTATCCTTAAAGGACAAACTGGGCTCTGCTACAGAGTTCAAAATCCTTTGCCTTATGCAGAGTAGAAGGAGCTAACTCTCTACCCATAGGCTTTCCTTCTTTCTTCTTCTAACAGAGGAAAAACAAGGCCCAAATCTAATTTCAAGAGAGTAGCTTGCTGTGGATATTCACTATTCATTTGGAGAGGGTGACTCATAGTTCTGCAGCCATAAGACTCCACAGATGGCATCTTTTTGGTGTTCTGGTCACTTTGAAACAGCAGACTGGGTAGTCATGCCATTGCTCTTAAATCTTGATTTTATTTTGGTACTTTTTTCTGTTACTATACTTTCTTGAAGTCCAAATAATATGTAGAATGAGATCAAAAGCTGCTTTTCCTTAAATCACATCCTAGGAAAAAAATGTTCAGTTACCATCAGAGAAATAAAACCCTAGGGCTATGGCTAGTCACATTCTTCATTGTTTACTACTCCAGTGGAACCATCTACTGGCCTAACAAACCCTATTTTGTCATCCAGTTTTCAGTAATGGAACTTCCTCTAAGGATGGTGATCTAATTCCAGATTGCCCTTGAAAGCAAGCAGGGGATTGGAACAGCTCTTTACTGAATGAAAAATACAGGTTATTAGAAAGTGTGGGTAATTATATCTTTTTTTGCTTTTCAAAAAAAGTTACAATTTAACATTTCCTGTTTAACCATCAGCCATAGGCCAATGTACTGGAACCTTTTTGTCCCTGTATGGGGCCATGTTTCAGGGGTCCAACCATAAGCTCTGACAACAGCAGTCCCCATGGGAATGCTTGTGGGGCGGGGACCTCACCAGAATAAATATCCTGGAGATACATGCCATTAAGAAAAGATTCAGAACTCTAAGACCCCAGCCAAATTAAAGGTTATCAATCCGTGTCATTGTGAAATGGAAAGCACATCTCCAGGGCCGAAAACCTGTCTCTATCACCGCCTCTCAGGATCAGCAGAAGTGATGATTCTTTACAAGGACAGAACCAAAACCAGCAAAGTACTCAGGGCTCTTATAATTGTGAAAATAAAAACCCAATCCGTTTTTATATGTGACAAGGAGATCCATCCCTTCTGTACTGAGAAGCCAAGCTCTTAAGAGTTGTGAACGTCGCTTCTCGGCCTTTTGGCTAAGATCAAGTGAAGAGTTGTGAACACATGAAACTGTTGAGATAGTTACAAAATAGTTCACTAAAACTTCACTAAAGCATCAAGAATTGAAGAAAGAACCATCCGTCCTCTTTCCAACATTTCCCTAAGTGTCATGGTGACCAAATTTTCCAACTAACATGGAGATCTTTAAGCCTTAAGG